CTTTCCCTAGCTCAACTCTTTTCTAGTCAGCAGGACAGGGACTTTCTCTTACTGTAAGCCTGTGATAGAAAATAGCATTGGACCATCATAGCTAGAGCTGTGAAATTTCACCAAAATTCTGGTGATGGCATAAAATAACATTTGGAATTCATTGGATGATTCTGGAAAGGGAATGAGGTCCGTTACCGGTAACTGACAAGTATCTGTTCATACAACAGCTGTGTAAAGGCTGCGTGAACTCTTCAAATTTAAAAAATTTAAAGTAACAACATACTAACACACAGATTTTTGTAGTAGGATCTTAGTTTTAGTTTGTTACCCTTTTTTACTTTTTTCTTTTTTTTTTTTAATGGAGTTCAGATTTTCAAAAATGTACTGTTGATTTCCCTTGCCTATAGGCTAGAATACATCCATTCCATATTTTGGTTGCATTAGAAACCTATAAAGCTGGACATGGAAGCAGGGGAAAGCTTTGGTGGCGTCCTGATGAAGACATTTTAGAAGCTTTAGATGCCTCGTTTTACAAAACTTTCAAGGTAATATAGTTCTTCAATTCGTTAATCTTTTACAGAATTCTCTGTTTTCTGAACGCTTATAAAATGATCAAGAAAAGACTTTGTAACAAAAGTCTTGCAACTTTGTAACAAAAATATTAGGAATTTTGGTTATATTAAGCAAAGAATCAAGACTTCCTGATATATTCAGCTTTTGGCAACCTGGTTGTCCTAATGTTACCCCAGAAAGAATGAAAAAAAAACCCGCTTCTAGGGTTGAAAGCAGAAGGAAGAAGAAATTAATATGTTAATGATGTGTACCTGTTTTCTTTTTTTCTTTTTGCTTTTAGACAGTTGAACCAACAGGAAAACGCTTCTTACTTGCAGTTGATGTCAGTGCATCAATGACACAAAAAGTTTCGGGCAGCGTGCTCAACGCCAGCACAGTTGCAGCAGCAATGTGTATGGTGAGGCATTAAACTTCTTTTACTTGTAACTAGTTGCAGCTTGAGCTGCTCTTTTGATACAAAGGTGCTCTAAAGCTGATTAGAAATCAGAAGGAAACTTACATGTAATGCTTTCTGGGTAGATCAGATGCTTAAAGGTGTCAACCAAATTCAGAAAGATCAATTTGAGGAAGTTGGTTTCCAGTATGATGAAAGTGGTCAGGACTGCTTTTTCACTTACCTTAGCTGAAAATACATTTTCATTTTTTTCAGAAGCTTCCATAGAGTAATACAGAATGGATTAAGAAATTTGGGGATAATTCTTGTTTGCATTTGAGTTATCAATATGGCCTTTGTATCACAATCACTCCCTCCTCGATTTTATATTCTAAAAATTCTTGTGTATTTATATTACAGCGAAACAAACTTTTGTCGGTGTTTAAAAATGTTCAGTGTTTTGTGTCAGAGGGCAGAGCAGAAATATGGAAGTATCTTTAGTTACAGCAATAAGAGCAGTTATTTAGCTCTGAGAGTTGCTACATTTATTTGTAGTAATATTACAGAATATTTAAAGTGTAAAGTGAAGCATTAGCACACATGAGGAGCCATGGTGACTTAAATACAAAATGGTATGTAATGTTGTGTGTTTGGTAGGGAATGCCTTGATTCAGACATTAAAAATTCTAAGTAATATAACTAAATTATTTTTGTGTTCCTCTTTCTCAGGTTGTAGCACGTACTGAGAAGGATTCCCATGTTGTTGCCTTTTCACATGAAATGGTCCCTTGCCCAGTGACAGCTGATATGACGTTACCTCAAGTATTAGTGAAAATGTATGAAGTATGTAAAAAAAAAAAAAAAAAAAAAAAATATATATATATATATAAATAGGAAATAACTGTTGCTAATGTCCGAGTTTAGAAGTCTCAACAGTTATATTGTGTTTTCTTTGTAATCAATTCTAGTACTGGGTTTAGTCTTTATCTGTACAGTAAAACACTGGAATTTTTTTTCTCCCTTTTACTTAGAGTAAGTCCAGCAAATATCATTATTTCAGCTGCTAGATATTAAACATCGCAATTTAGAATGGCAGTGTTATGACACAACAAGTTAGTTTCAAAAGACTGTTTAAAAAGTCAAGCCAAAAAAAACCCTGAAGAAAAGTGAAATGAAATGAAGAATTGAGCTGTTGTTTAACAAAGAAGCCTGTGTGTGTGATAAAACACAGAGCTTGCATAAAAAACAATTTTTCCGTGGTTTACTAATTTCTGTATTAATGTGTTCCATTTATGTATTTTTTTCTTTTAAGATTCCAATGGGTACCACTGATTGTTCCCTTCCAATGATATGGGCTCAAAAAACTCAGACAGCTGCTGATGTCTTCATTGTATTTACCGACAATGAGACCTTTGCTGGAAATACTCATCCTGCAACAGCTCTTAGAGAGTACAGAGAGGTAAATATGCTTCTGACTGTTTATAATTGATGAATACAGTACAAAATAAATACCAGTTCTAAAAATGTTTTAGAGACTGAAGTAGGTGTGGCTTTTTTCAGTAAATAGTTATATATTGTTAAAAACTGATATATTCGGCAGTTAGGCAGAATTAGTGCACATATTGCACTAATTGCGCATATTTAAAACCACTGAATTGCTAAAAATATTTGCAATTATCCTACCCAGATCGGTGTACTACAATATCAATGAAAATTTGTTTAGTATTCAGGGAATATATGAATTTCTTCATTCTATATATAATTGATTACGTTTTTTATAGTTCTTACAGAATGAAATTAGGCTCACAGAATTAAATTTAACTTTGATGTCTGCAGTAATACCACAAAGTTTAAATGAAGTAATGAAAATAAGCCTGTAGGGAAGGTGTCAGTAGGATGAGGTGATAGTATCTTGTGAAGAAAGCTCATTGCATTTTAAAGGGGCTACTGTAAGTTGTGCAGCATCGTAATTTTTAAATAGAACTAAGAAAAATACCTCCTCCAAGCCCATTGGTATTAGAAACTCTCATTTAATCAGCAATCTTTTATGCTTTAAAGGAACTATTTTTTAAACTAAATGCATGCTTGCCAAAGAGTATTTTTTGTATGGACGTTAATCTTCATATCACGTACACCCAGTTGAAATTATTACCAAAAATCTTTAACTTGCCCACTGTGTTTTAGTTTTCTTAGTTGAGATTAGATCCCGTTCCTAAATTTGTTCTTTGAACAAAGAGTTCCTCTACTCTGGCCTTCATGCCACTTGCTTTGCTTTACCTTACAGGTTACTAACCTGCAAATTCAGCTCATTTAGCAGAATTGTCCAGGCCACAGTTGTTGTATTTGCTTAGCCAACATTTGGAAATCCTTGCCTTAGACAAAAACACACTCTTTGACTCCTGTTAGATAATTTGATAATTATTATTGAAAGTTTTCTCTCAGAGTCAACTGCAGAGTAGCAATTGCAATGTTTGTGTTTGAAATAATCTATGAATATTTGTATTACAGAAAAGTTGTGCTAATATACCTCATTGTAGTTATTTCCATTTATTTAAATATATCTACTGCAGGTGAAGTATGATGTTAACAGCAGTCTGCAATTCTGGTTATGGCATATCTAGTTTCTATCAGTGGTTTATGCAAGCAAGATAGCAAGATTTGGCCCTCTGGCATGTTTAGCTTACTGTATATGTGTGTTCTGATTATTTTTTTTTGTCCTTCCTCTAGAAAATGGGTATTCCCGCAAAACTGATTGTTTGTGGAATGACCTCAAATGGTTTTACGATCGCAGATCCAGATGACAGAGGCATGTTGGATATATGTGGCTTCGATACAGGAGCTTTGGATGTTATTCGAAACTTCACTTTGGATTTGATTTAATTTTCTAGGCATCTGCTCTTCCCAGTGGGTCCATTGCTGGCAACAGACTTCACCCTGGGAATTCCCAGCCAAATATACTTCATTAGAATATGGCACATTATATACATATCAGAATGTTACCTTTTTGTGAGGGGAAAACAAGAAAAGCAGATGGGAAATCTCTTTTCTCTTTTTTCCTGTTGCACATAATTTAAAATAACAATGGGAAGTTTGCTAAAAGTAGCTACAGGGTTACACAGGACATAATTTAATTTCATTTATAACAGATCATAAATACTGAGAGATTTTTAATTTTCCCCCCGCCCCATTGCTGTGGGATGCTTGTTTGCAAGAATAAATTGAGAAATTACTCTTAGGATGGGGCAGGAAACAAAAGTGCGTTTAGTATTTTTAATAATGTCAGTTTAACAGCAGCTTTGTTGAAAGGGATTTTTCTTTGGGCTTTTTTTAATATTTGTATTTTAAACAAATTACTAAGGTTCAACACTTTCCATTGTTACACTTCGCATCTACAAAAGAAGTATTTTCTGGCATGTATGAGACCATGTGACTGTGATGCAGTATAAAAATTACCCAGTGAAATTTTATACTGATAAAACTGAAAGTGGAAGAGCTCATGCTAATCTTATTCTATCTAGATTATCATCTGGGTTTTCAGGAGTAAAGTGTAATTCTTTTCAGATAAATTGAGGGGCAGTTTCTGTACACTGCAGTTTCAGAAGCACTATTTTGGAATTAATACGCTTTACAGGAAGTTCTAAGAAGTGTTTTTAGTAGAAAAAGACCTTGGAAATGGCTGGGAAGCCACACTCGGTCCATGTTATAACTTCAGGAAGCATCAGCACACTTTCAGTGGGGAAGATCAAGAAGTGCATGTGTCTTGGCCTGCTCTTGAAAGCTGAGTGATAACAACCAGAAACAAAAAGCTGCATTTTCTTCAAATGAATGTGTTCAATGGTACAGAAACAAACTTCCTAATAGGAGAGTATTTAATTTTTTTAAATCTTTTCGTAGATTAACGTTACTTCTGATTTCGTAAATTAATTCAAGCTAACGTTTTTCAAAACTACCTCCAGTTTATAGTGACCAATTCTTAAAAACTTTTATGAAATGTACAGTTGCCTCCGTGTTCTCAAAATCTTGTTCAGGAAGTGATTGAAACTGGATTTTTTTTTTTGTAGTCTGATAGTAAGAGTGTGAGTAAATGAGAAGAAAGCTAGTGAGTATCTTATCACTTTGGAACAGGAATTGATAGCAATTCATGTGTATATGTATTTAATTCTGTGTGTGTGTTTTTATATATGTGTGTTTGGGGGGAAGTTAAAAGATCTCGTTAGTAGATCACAGTCTTAGAAGGTGAGAAGGGTTTTTTAGGGATGCTTTTACAACTTCCTCTAAGACATATGTCAGCCTCTTTATGCTCATTCTGGCTGTTTAAAACAGTGAATTTGATGTTAATTTGAAAATAATTATGATTTATGAAAAAAAAACAGTTGTGATAAATGACATGTAAGACCATATTTTTCTGCCTAAACCCCAAGCTTTTAAATGTAAAATTCAAGTTCATATTATACTTTTGATACTTGTAATACTTTTCATTATGCCTCGTACATATTGATTATAAATTCAAAGCTCGCATTCTTTAAGACAGATATCTCTTTTGGTGCTAAAATGTGAGGTTACATGTTACTGAAAGTATTCCGCTACAAACTTAGACTCTACCTTATGAATGAATCAAAACAGCGAGGGAAGACTTTTCTGACATTAAAACCATGGCTCAAAGAACTGATGGTAGGAATGTTACCTTTTAGTGGACATGAATGTAGTTACTTCTGAATTATCACTGCTCTTACGATACAGCTCTGATAGAATGCTTGAAGAATACAGGACTGCCACCAGCTTGTCAGGTGACATCTAGAAAAAACAAGTGTTCCTACAAAAGCTGAGACATAGCACTTCGAGTTTGAAAAAGAGTATTAGCCATTTCTTGTGAAATATTTCTTAGCACTTGTAGTCTCCTTTCTAAATAAACACCATGAATATGAGGAGTAAACTCATTTGCTCAATACATGTTAATAATTATTTCAAGTAAATGCACTGATGTTTTGGGGTTGGTTTTGGTAGTATTGTGTTTTAAATTACACAATAGTCAAACATCTGATTAGGTGTTTCCTCCTAAGCTAGAGATGTTGAAAGTAACTGATAGATAAGGATCTTTTGCAAGTACTTTTTCTTTTTTGGAGTAGTATTTGTGAAGTAATAGGAAATATTTTGGACTAAATATAAAATGAAAACTTAAGCAGGTATTTCAAGTAACTTTGCGCAGTTAATTGCATACATTTACTGCAAGTAAAAGATTAGACTAGTTACTAACAGATTGAATGAACGGTTATAGTAGCGTTGCATCTTTGAAAGCAGTCCAGTTTAAAATACAATTCCTTGAACTAGAGTGTAAGTGAACTTCTCAGTAGAATTTAGAGGAAAAAGTAGCTCCCTGTATCTGTTGACACTGGACAGCTATGCATCATCTTAAAGATAGTGAACCATGCTGGAGTACATAATATGCTCCTAAATATAAATTACCATGTCTCTGTACTAAAAAATCTTGTTAGAAATAGGACATTCTAAATGGTTTGGTTATCCCATGTAAATCTAGCACCAATGAGATCCTGTTGTCATCTGCTCCTCCTTTAAGATTTTCACAGAGAGGGGAAACTGAAGTAAATGCCGACAGCTGACACTTCATAGTGTGTTGACCTTTGTTTCTACTGTTTTCTGTCTGGCTGTGTTATTATCTTACAGTAAGGGGCATAGAAGAATGATGCTGCATATCCTTTTTCCATAGACTGAATCTTTTCTATCTGCCCATACACTGAATTTTAGGGGACAGCATGACTCATTTGCTGTAACATAAATTTGTCCTGATTTTAGTCATTAGTTATTAAAGTGATAATTTCCAAAACAATACCTGGACGTGTAAAGAGGCAATAATTACTGTAATGTTTTTTTTAAAAAATAAGTAAGTGAGCTAAGACCAAGTTGCTAAACTTAAGCATTAGTTCAGTATACAAGAAATAACCTACCCTTTCACCAAAGAGGAGACACTGACTCTTTCAAGTTAATAGTGTTGTTTGCATTGGAGGAACACTTTGACCAACAAAACAAAAATCGGGCTATAATTGTGCGCTGCAGTTTACCAGTAAAAAATTGAACAGGGGCAAGTTTAAAGACAGTAAATTTTATTCAAAATGTGAATTAAAGAAAAAAGTCTAAATGCAGAGTGCAGCTGTAGACTGGGTGAATGCAGGTTTCCTGATACCTAACAGAATTAATAGGCTTTCAGTTTGACTGCCATTTCACTGTGACTCCCTTAACAATTCTTAAGTATTAGACTATTATGTCTAAGACTATAATGTTCAGGCACTTTAGGTTTAAGAAAGAAGAAAACGCTATAACGGTTGGAAACACAACAGAGGTAAAACATTCTTCGGTAATGAAAGGCTGTAAGAAGTAAACATCAAAGGTCCGGTTTCTTCATGGAAGAGGTACAATCAAGAATGTGGAGAGAGCAGAAGGCACTCAGATTCCTTAAAAACCATGCAATGCATACATCAGCATTGTGCAATAAATTGAAAAAAGACAGGAATAATTTTGCCAAGAAATAGAATTTCATGTCAGGAATCTTAGACCTGTAGCAAGGAGGAGGAGAGTTTGGGATGCTCGTAGAATTAGATTACAGGCAAAATATGGGGTCTTTACCTCCAATCCTCTGTGTTTAAAAAATAGAAGTTTAAAAGTAGGTGTAGATCTGAACTCAGCAGGGCCAGTCGAAGTGCCCACTATGTGAGGGCCACGAATAACTGGCCCTAAAATACCTTGCTGCTTAAAACCACTGTTAAACCTGTTTGTTAAACATAGATTGTTAGGGTGGTTGTGGTGTTCTTTTTCATTGTTGTTTAACTGGGGCCCATAAATGGGTATGGCTTTAAAAGGCTATTCAATTAAGTCTATATTCTTGGCTTAAAAAATACACCAGCAGTTTTGGAAATGTATTTTAATAATGGCTCTGTCTGTAAAAACACTAGGAAAATATTTTTCTCCATTGCAAAATGCTGTGCTGCTTAACAACTCGTAGCCATCATACCAGAAGTGTTAGGATTGGTTCCATTTATTTTGTTTCTTCTATTACCTTTTTGCTTTGCCCTTCCTGTTCTCTGTTGTCTTTTTTCTCCTTTCCCATGTCCTTGTCACCTCAGGCCTATACTTGACTCTCTTTTCGCATACAAGCTCTTGTCCATTCCTTTTTTTTTTTTTTTTTTGGCCTCTGTTCTTCTTCTGCCTTCCTGCGGTCATTGAGCGTGCTAGCTTAGCTAAAGAACTTACACCAGAACTGATGTCATAGTATTTATCTTAGTTTTTAAAAACTGGATAAATTTTTTTCATTCCTTTGTTTATATAAATCTCTTATAAAACATTTAATTTGTTCTATCTATCAGATTTTTGGTAAAAATTTGTGTAAAGATCAGTGACGAAAGTATACTTTGTTTATTTACAGGAGTCCAACATCTGCCTGTGAATGGCTTTATTTTTATGAAGTGACTGCTTAAAATTGGTTTTCCAAATTTAAAGGTTTTTTCTAGAATTAGTTCAGTGGGTTGGAGCTTTCCATTCTGTTACATATAATCAAGCTGCTGTTATATACAGAATTAGGGAAACAAATTAATGTTCTGGATAAATGGGCAGCTTCTTTGCAGTACTGATTAGAGAAAATCTTAAAAGAATAGGATGTAGAAGTAAACCTAAGCAAAGAATCATTTGTCCTGCTTGTGCTTTTAATCTTTTTTCTAAGCATTTCATCAGTTTATAGGTTTATGTTGCTATTTGCATCGGTTCACAGTGGACAAATATGCTGTAAGTAAGCTGTTTTAATGACTTTATTGGTGGAATGGTAGAGGTTTCATCTTACCATGACACAGTATAGCGTACAACATTGCTGAGTAAGAGTTATGGGGGGGAAAAGTTAAAACACTAGGACAGTGTATGTGCTGCTCCGAGAGCTAAGATTTAACACTAGCTAATTTCAGCAGAAGGTATGGTGTCTTTAAATATGTGTGCTTACATTTGGATTTATAATTTTGATACTGTAAAGCGTGGTTCCTTTAGGTATTCCTGCATTCTGAATTTAAGTTTAAATATATATATATTTGCATATATATATGTGGTATGTTGAAAACTTTTACAAATGCTTCATTAACAAATAATGGATATAAATAGCTGTTTTCCTAATGTTACCAGCTTCTTAGAGTTAAGCACAACTAGTTACAAATGCAGTGTCTTTTCTATTACATTCTCCTATAAAAGTGCAGTTCTACTCTTTAAAAACAATTCTGTGTGAAGAAGCAACAGGTGGGCACATCAACAGCTCTATCTGCTTAATTAACTTGGTGTTTGTTTCCAGCTTCTCACGCTTCTTAGGAGCATAGTATTTAAGCTGGATGAGCAGGTACATCTTCAGTGGAAGTACAGAATCTTTTAGTGGATAATTTTTAACATTCAGATCCCAGGGCAAGCGTTACCTTAAGATAAAAAGCTTTGCCCTAGAGACAATGCTAAGCAAAAAATACGGAAATTTTGAATGACTATTTTTGAGTCCCTCCTTCTTTTTTTTTTCCTAGAGTAGAACCACACTTTAACTGCCATATCGTGTTTAAATAACTTAAACATAACATGGCTTTGTGCCATCCAGTAATGAAGGCACTGTCTTGCTGCTACTTTCTATGAAATGATACAAAATTATTGAGAAACTATTTGGATGGGGAGCCTTAATATGGTTAAAAAGAAACATAATTAACCCTTTGAGTGCCTTAAGACATATCTTCTTTAATAAACGGGCACTCATTTGGATCTGCAGGCATACAGCGTGTTTTCTCAACAGCTGGAATAGAATATTGCCTTCAGTGACAATGCCCTGGGATTTCTGACACTTAGAACTCAAAGGGTTATTTTAGACTACTGTTTGGGGACTTTTTGTTTTTTTAAACAGGGAACAAAATGAAAAGTCTGTGAAAAATTCCTTTGCATACTATTATTGTTATTTTTACATGATGGATTTACCAGCTTTCAGGTGCAAAATTATTGTTAATCATCTGAGAAAACGTAACTGGCCTGAGAATTCTACACAGAGGAAAAAAAAATACTTGGTTACCATTGTTATGTGCAAAATAAATTGCTTTATTAAGTATAAATTTAGGGAGAGATGCACATTTGTGTGTGTTTACCTTGATGAGTGTGTCCTTCTAAACAAAATTTTAATAAGGCACTGATGAAACTTGCAAAATACAGTAAACTGCAATAATAAAAATATAACTGAGGTCGGTGTGTTTTAATTAAGCTCATTACACGTTAAAGATGCACAGTGCAGGCAACTCTATACTAAAGACTTTTTACAAATGACACAGTTTAAACTTTTTCCAAACCTGCGTCACAAAAATGAAATTTACGTGATCCTCTTACAGTCCTGGTTATCTGGAGTTGAAGATTAACGTGATGCTTTTTTCCCTTGAGGGGGAAAAAAACAGTTTAGGTGCATGCAGTGCTGAAAGCAATGGAAATGATAGGAGCCTTATTCACAAGAAGTGAGTAAAAAATTCGTTGACTAATGTTTTTATTCTAAACTGTGCACCTTTAGTAGTGTAATGGTCCCTTTTATTGAAGAATGGGATACAGTTTTCTACTTGCATATGAACTTTCTTGAAATAACCAAGTCTTGGCATTGCCTGGTCTGGCTTTGGATGTACATTGTACTGAAACTATTGGATTTTAGGCGTTTCTTTTAGACATTTAACTGCAAGTTAAAATTGCTAGTAAACTGCATTCTGACTGTAGAATTTAAGTACTAAATAAACTCTATGCATATTAGACCCATTTTACTTGGTCTTAAGTTTCATAATACTGTTGGATTGATCATAACGTAGTTTGTAGATGCACAGTTCAGTGACGGCGAGCTCTATCGTTCCCCTAGAAGGATATTCCCGAAAGATGACTGATGCTTCATAGCACAGAGTAAAGATGAGAGCAATTATCTACCCCTCTAAGGCTGCAAGAATCTTTATTCCCTTTTCGGTAGCAATTGGATATACAATTTGGTAGCTAGGTGATCAGACACTGAAATGTACGAGGCAGACGTGCATACAGCAATATCACTACAAACTTGTTTTTCTTCATACTTTCTTCATGATTACAATTTGATGTTCAGCGAATTAAAGGAACCATTAAATTAAACTGACCATTTATTGTAACTGTCACAACAAAGCTAGTAAGCAAACTAATTTTCAGCAAAAAAACCTACACGATTCTTCTTGTACAGTCTATACTTCTCCAAAGCATAGTATCAGGACGTAATAGCAGTAAAACGACATTGCTGTCTAACACTTAGACCCCAAGAAGTACATAATGTTTTTTAATCAACATTTTGGTTGTGGTAAAGCTGAGGCAAGGACACCAAGTAATTTGCCAAGTCCATAAAATCTGTGTCAGAGCATGATCTCTGATTCGGAAATCCATGGCTTGAACTTGTTGAGTCCAGCTGATGCAGTGTATCTTTGTGAACTTCTAACTTGTCTGAAATACTGATTATACAAAAGAAGGCTAAATTAAGCTAGATGGCTGCTCAGGATTTCCTTTTCACTTGACATTGATGAATTAACGGAAGCAGTTTGCCTTCCTCATGAAGCCTTTGAGTATCTGTAGCACCTCCAACAAAAGTCCCATTGACAAACACTCTTGGCACCTATCCAGAAAATGAAAATGCCATTAGTTCATGGAAAAAAGATAAAAATCCAAGCAAGCCCACATGAACTCTAGTATATACACAATAGTTATGTTCTTACATATGCATATTTAATATTACTGTACAACTCATACATTTTTGTATTTACAGAGGTGGGAAACTGTGTTAATGTGCCCCTCAAAAGCAGGATAAAATCACTGTATGGGAGATTGTAATAAATTAAAATAATCGAGTCAAGTGAGAGGATACAAAATTAAGCAATTACAAGGTAAGTGTTAAACACATTAAATATACCTATACAAACGAAAACTGGCTTTGCTGCTTCAATTATCTTAGTGGCAGTATGGAAAAGATCACCTCAGAGGGACAGCCAGAGGGTCTCAAGAGGAAGAGATGGTACAGAACCCTTCTGCAGTACATTGTCTTTAATTTAGGAGCTTGTATCCCAAGCTGACTTGTCTCAAAAAAATGAAGAACCTGATATGGTCATAACCCATAAGGAACACGTGTCGTGTAACTTCTTACTTTGCTTGTTACACGTAAGAAAATATACTTACTGTTCTGCCACCAGTCATCTGTTCAAGAATGTCTTGGAACTGACTTCCATTTGTATTCATGTCCAGTTCTACAGCTGTATAATTTACATTCATATCCTCAAAAAGTTTTTTTGCCATTTTGCAGTAGAAGCATGTTGTCTTAGAGAAAATCACCACACAGTTGTCTGAAATAATCTCCTGTATGTTCAACAGAATATTCAAGTTTGTTTTTAAGTCAGTGTATTTTAACAGTATCGAACAGTCATGAAAAAAATACAGAAGTTAAAAATCTGCTATTATGGCAACAAATACAGGAAAATTGTGCTCTGTAAAAGGCTTTCTGAGGTATTTTTAACAGGGACAACTGCGAACTTCCCAGCCATGCTGCAGCGATGGCTGGCTACTTCTGAAGAATCTGTACTTTACACTGTACTTTATACCCTGTTTTTTAAGGTAAAGTGAAAAGCTAGTTTAGCTTCTAAATTTTCCCTACTTATAATCTAGAGCCACAAGAATCTTAAGGCGAGGAATGAACTACTTTTCTTTAAAAACGAGGGGCAGAACAGTGACTTCTATCAAGGCATCTGTCAAGAAGATACCATGACCTGTATGGTGGGTGCAAACCATACCCACCTCGTGTTTGCTCTGGACCTCAAAAAGTGCAGCTACACTTGACCAGATCCCAAAGAGCATCTGCGCACGAGCACAGTAGGCAGCAAGGTGCAACTTCAGTTTCCAGAACTATGTGGAAGATAAAGTGACTTCTGTTCCACTCAAGCTTTTCTGTAAAAGGTATGCCCTATTCTTTGAGTAGAATACCTGAAATCAGTTAAAACGTAGCAGCATCTTAACTTTCGGGAATGCTATAATCATCTTCTTGTGGGAGCAGAGAAATAGAGAAGAATTGGCTTTAAGGATCTCTACCAGCAGCGCTGCTGGCACCTATGAAGCTGCTCATGACTCCAAAACTGAGCAGAACAGTTGTGGTGCATGTGGTATGAGTGGCATGCAATGCTGCCAACCCTGAACTCTCTTTTGCTCTGCAGTCACAGACCTCCTACAGTCTGCCAAACAAGCTGTATCTCCTTGAGTTACTTAGTACACCTTTCCCTGTCCCTAAGGCAAACAGGATGTGCCGGTGGCAAGCAGAGTGACAAAAAGGCTTCTGAGTAGGAGAAAGAAATACCCCTATTACCTTACTGTAAATTCAAGGTGATTTCAGGCTGTCATTCAGTATCAGTAAATTTACTTTAAAAGACAACTTCCTCTTTAAATGTTTACTTTACGTGATATCAGTCATTTTACAAGGTTTAATCCCCAATATTGCGAGCAGTACTGAATTTGAGTAGAGGTCTGAAAAAACCTAGAATGGATGTGGTCTAGATCAGGTTCCAGGTCTGTGGCTAAACAATACTGCCACTATTAGCTAATAAACACAAGAATCAGGTTCAACAAGCAGAACTATGTACAGAATTTCTTTGCATAAATGAGAAGAGCTTTTAAGTAACCGAAGCTTTTAGAAATGTTAAAAATAAGTAACAATTGCGTAAATAATGTTACCTGTATTTGATTCACAGCAGCATCATGAGACAATCCTACAGAAGTAGGCAGACTATTCCCCATTCTAAAACTAAAGAGAAATTGAAGTCAGATATTGAAGCTTTCAAACAAATGACACATTTTCTACTTCACAAACTAAAGGTTGGCTTTGTACTGTTTTGTTTAAATATTTAATGTCATTTCTCCATTACGTGGAAGTTTACTTCAGCTGCACCACCTACAGTCATACTAGTTCTTACATGCTTAGAGAAAGATGAAAATAAAGAGGTGGATATTGCAGACTTATGAATAACCAGAACGGCTGCCTTTACGCGACAAATACTGTTTGGTTTTGTGTTGGTTTTTTTTTTTTCCCCCCAGTGCTAACACAGATATGTGTCAAATCTGACACCGGGCTGTATCCAGCGCCACAACCCGATTCTCGTAGAAGGGACCGTGCTCGTTTTCATCACAGGAGCGGGTCCCGCAGGCGCGCCGCTCCCAGGCCCGCACCTCCCGCTGCCAGCCGGGCCTCCTCCCCC